GGAAACTATATATAAAGAAATGTTCAGATGTCAAGCTCAACTTGAGATGTCATCTTTAATACTCCCTTTCAACTTGATAATGCAGAGCAATTTTTCTCTATTACTTAGATTAAATGATATTTCTCTGATAACTAGGATAGATGCTTGTTTGAATCCAGAAACAAGGAGAAGCTGTTCTTATATATTGTTATTTTTCTCTATTACTTAGATTAAATGATCTTTCTCTGATAACTAGGATAGATGCTTGTTTGAATCCAGAAACAAGGAGAAGCTGTTCTTATATATTGTTTATATAGAATGGTGATATTACCTGGATTCATGTTTGCATCAGAAAGAAGTTGACTCTTATACTTTTGGCTTGCTGATATGTCATTTTTAAAATACTTCACATGAAAAACATTGTACTCGTTTTACTTATACTGTATTATATTTGAAGAAACACCCTTTCTTCAAAGTAACACATTGAAGTAACACAGACTATTCCTTACTGTACTAGTTTTCTAATTACATGGAGTTTTGTGTTTAGTTTTCTTTCATTTTAATCACCTTATTCTACTTCATGAATCAAGTGTTGCCCAGAATCCATTACAGCATAAAATGTGTTTTATTAGCCTATCTATCATTCAAAATAATAATGCAGCTGTCCCATTTTCTATATAAATTTGCTGAATAAATAAATAAATAAATTTGGGATATATGATATCTTGGTTTAATAAGCATGTACCACCAGGAAAGTTTTTTTAAAAAAATGGAAAGGGATATTCAGAATTTGGGGAAAAAATTAAAAGGATTTGGGGAGACCTCTAAGTAGAAACAGATTGGGGTATGGTAATAATAATAAGCTAATAAGCTTCTGATCAAGTGGGGATCACAGAAAGTATTTGCTGTATCATCATATCGTATATTGAAGGACAAGACTACATTGGAGGTATCTGGCCTAATACTCAACTAAATCTCAGTGTTTTTATTTGATTTTTCTGAAAAGATACGTACAAGTAGCACAAAGGTTTTAACAAATGTATATGAGTTATGGCTCTCTCTCTCACTAATACTTGATTTTCACCTTTCTGAATTCTGCATGAGTTATGCCTTTGTTTTTGATTCTTGGGAAGTCATTGGTGGGATGACTCAGCCTGCAGAATGTAATCACATGGACTGCTATTACCACTTCCTATTGCCCTATTTTATCCACTCTTTTGATCTAGTTACATAATTGTGAATGAAGGAGAAAAGCCACTGGTTAAAAATGCTGCATACCATATTATGAAACCTTGGTTGATATGATATGCTGGAGCAATGTTACTTAATATAAACAAGTCTGAGAAAATTCAAGGAAACTAGAGTCTGTTCTCAGTACCAGGAGCTCTCCAGATAAATGAGTGTGAGCTCATTTGTTGTGACAGTTTCACTCCACGTGAATCCTTAAATCCAGTCTGTTCTAGAAAATGTATCAAGTTCACAATGTGATCTGACTTGTGCTTCCAAGAAAAAAACAAGAGGGTCAGTTTTGGTTCAGTTACACCTCTTACTTATGGGAGAGTAAAATAGCAGCTATTTGCTTTCAATTCATTTCTTTTAAAAGGCTTTGCCAGAATAGAGAGCGTGCTCAGAAATACCAGCGTGGAGTAATCACACTGTTTTTAAAAGAGATTTTTGGTAAACAGTTTTGACAGATACAGGTATACTTGTCCTTCTATGCACATCTGGATTTGTACATGGTCTTTCAAACATAATGTTTGTGGAACAGGAGCATCTTCCATGTGGTCTAATCTCATACTAAACTAGTAATAGGTAGTTGGAAAAAAGAGGAGAAAAGGAAGTTGAGCTGGCACAACATCAGATCTAGGAAGCAATAGTATTCCACTCATGTTTATGTTTCATGGAAGTTCATGGAAACTTTTTCCAAAAGCTGCCATGTAATATGCCTAGAGAAAAGATAGATAAAACAGAATGGCTTTTTTGCTACGTTAATTGTCCAAGACATTCTGTCCACACTGGTATTCCTTGTTTCTTTTCCTGTAATGGATTCCTGTGTTGCACTTTGTTCACTTGGCAATACTGGACCAACACTGGAATTATTTGCTGCAGGAGTCACATAGTATTTCTTGTGTCAAGGAGCAGGTTAACATATTTACCTGTGGTTTGACATGATATCAGAACTTTTGTGGTTGTGTGTGAGAGGTTTACAAAAGAATTTGGAGAGTTTTGACTCATCAGCATTTCGAATAAATGGAAGTAAACTCAAAGTACATGGTCAAATGGTTGAAAAGCCATTTATTCTTTCAGTGAGGTCCATATTTATCACAAGTGTGAAAAAGAAAGGAAATTACTAGCATGTTTTGCACAACTTACACTAATGTGGTTTTTACAGACCAGTCCCGTGAAGCAGTGTTTGAAAGCGATCTTGTTCAACATGGGGAAGATGGGGAATGGCAGCACTCTACTTCAACTACCTCATCTCAGAGTGAACAGGCAGAGAAACTGTTGCAGAACCAGCACAAGAGCCTGGCCTCTGAGGACACCAAAAAGAAGAGGGCTCAGAAACCTTCTCACATGAGGAGGAACATAAGGTAAACGTGCATTTTAAAAATATTTGATAGGAATTTCTATATTTACACTTACACGCTATTCATGCATAATCTCTTGAATCCAAGTTGATGATGGTCTGTGTGCAAGAGCACTAGACAAAGTAGAACTCAAATCCAGTTGGTGAGGAAACATTGCAGGCATCTCTGGTAACTGTTCTAAGAAACTGCTTTCACGGCTCCAGGGAAGAAAACTGATCATAATTGTACTCACATTTCTGTTTCTGTAATACCCTGTGAAAGAGTTGTGGTGTGATTCTTTTTCCTTTAGACCAGTGATGTGAAATTTCTGGTCCATGTGCATGATCTGATCTACTTGGACCCAGCCTATCTGGCTTTTGAGCATGTCCCCACTTTGTTTTCCCCAAAGCTCTACCCTTTCCCCAGCAGCATAAGCTGCTTCAGCTGCCCTACACTTCCCTGGATGGAGAAGTGTGTCATGTGGCTAAATGTGACAAAAGTTGTTCCTGCAAGCATTCTACTCTTTTTACCCACCATGTGCTTTCCATAATAAGTAAATATGTTGGATGGCAGAGAATCAGATTGTCGTCATGGAGCATCTGCAAGTACAGCTGTTTCCACCACCCCACATTGTCTCCAATGATACAGTGGGTAATATTGGCTCCCCCTTGTCCTGAACAAACTGCTTGTGCTTATGCAGAATGAAGCCCTGCTTCCCCTTAGACAAAATGGGGAGGAAGGGAAGGGGAGTATTAATTTTTAACATCTGGCCTGCCCAGGCAGATGAGGAATGGGATCTGGCCCTTGGACAGGATTCAGTTCCACACCCATTCTCTAAATCAGTATTCTTAAAAAAAAAAAAAAAAACTTTAGAAGGAATAAAAACAGCTTGAAACAGTTTAGCATTACATTTGGAATTCACAAACTGCACTTTGTGTGCAATTTACAACAGTGGAATGTTCTCTGATACGCTAGGCCTACGGGCAATATCTGACACGTTAGAGCTTTCTATATGTCTTATTTTCTGAATAGTTGAGTTGCCAGCCAGTGGAGGTGTGAGGCTATGAGAATCATTGGTATGCTTGAATCTTATGCTGTTATTCATTTTCTTGAGATTTTGAATACAGCAGAAGAGATCTTAAACATCCCTGTTAGCACTGCACATCAGCCCTTAAACAGCAGCATCAAAGGTCTTCTTCAGTTCCAAGTTAGCCTCCAATATAGTCCTGTTTTTTATTTACTGTTCTGTTTTTTAAAGCATGTGTTGTTTTCCACTTCTTTGTAACTGGAAGGCACATGGTATATAAAGGAATTGTCCACTATCTTCTAACTTGCCTTGCCTTAAACCCTCACCTGTCCTTAATGTTGCAGCACAGTGTAGATGCATATTTACTGGCAACTACTTGTTTTAGTTTCATTATACTCTCCTGCTCCTCAGCTAAAAACTAATATTACTCCCACTCCCACTCTCCAGTGTATGGAATATATAGTGACACTTGCCTTCTACCTACAAGAGAAAAATGGCTAGTTTTTCTGACTCTTGTCATTTTCTTTGCTTGAAGAAGGGCAAACCAGTTTTTATTTGCCATTGGCATAACCAAATGGAAACTGCATTGATATATTTCTTTGGAAGTAATCTATTTTTCTCTTTGTGCATTCAGAAAGCTGCTGCGGGAAGACCAGCTGGAGGCTGTAACAAAAGCAGCACAGCAGGAGGAACTGGAAAGAAGGAAACGGCTGGAGCAGCAAAGGAAGGATTATCAAGCCAGCATCCCCACAGTACCTCTGGAGTTTCTCCCAGGTAAATTATATACAAAGTATTGAACCAAAAGCTGAATTGAAGATAGATGAAACAAATCATGATGCTCAATCCTGTCAGCATACTAACTTTGTTTCATTTTGTAGTGTTTATTTCATTTTTTTTTTTTTTTACATTCATGCTCTAGTTTACCTCCAGGAAAAAGAAAAGGACAAAAGGACAATATAATTCATAAGTAACTTTGTAAAACACTGTGTGCCTATTTTTCTCTAATACAACTTTCCTTTTAATGTTTGAACTGTGTGTCTATCATATTAATTGATACACATTAATTTCTATGTTAATATGCCATTCGTGGAAGGGATAAAATAATTCTTGGTTTTTTAACAAAAATTAATGAAAATATTGTAAAAATTATTCATTTTTAATAGACTGGGTATAACAGCACTGTTTGTAGTTCTGTTTTCATGCTGGAATTGCTTAATTCCAGTGTGAAATAAATGGTGCCTCCCATAAACAGTTTTGTTCTTTTGTTTGCATTATTTTAGCACTCTGAGAAATCATGCTTTCTACTATGGTAATGAGCTAAACTGAGTTACTTCCTCTGCATGTTCATCAGTTCCCTCTCTTTCTGGATACCAGTCATGAAAGCTCCCTTCTTCTCTAGTGTTTTCCTTGTCCCTCTTAATCACCATGTCAAAGCCAATCCATTAAGAACAGTTTACTAATTCTCTGGTATTCCTCAGGATCAAGTCATATATAACTCTTATATTGAAAAATATTATTGCCCAAAACTTACAAATACAACGTTGTTAGTCAACAAATCTGTTACTTAAAAGATTTTCCTTGTATTTATGTATTCTCTCAGCTGCATTTTGATCAAGGTTGTTACATATTTTAGAGAAAATATACAGTATCTTAAAGCTCATCAGTAATTGTTCAAGCTTCAGGAATTCAGATGTATCCCATTCTTTTTGATCCTTTACTGAGAGGAATGGGGAGGAATGAAGGCCTTGTGTCTTCTCTATATTAAGAGAGCTATTCTTTTCTTATTAATTCTTCTTAGATATTCCAACATTTTAAAATCAGTGTAAACTTTGTGCAAGAGGCTAAAAATATATAGATAGTCCTCATTTATGACCACAATTGGGATGAGCAATGCCGTCATTAAGCGAATCACCCACAGTCATCAAGTGAGACATCACTGACCACGACTTGCAATTTTACTGTCCGTTTCTCCATTGAATATGCTTGTTGGAAGCCAGTTGTGAAGTGCGCAAATGGCAATCGTGATTGTGGGATGCTGCATGGTCATAAGTGCAAGGACCAGTCATAAAGTTATTTCTTCGGTGCTGTCATAACTTCAAACAGTTGCTAAACAAGGCAATCATTAAGCAAGGACTACCTGTATGTCAACCCAGTGAAATAGCATTACCTATAATACATTCAGACCACATTAAAATGGAGCAATATATGTAAAACCTTGTAGTAAAGCTTTGGATGTGAATCTATTTTTCAATATCCATAATTTCAGACTGGCCTTAGGAGGCATTACACTGTGACTAATAAGACACTGTCCATTCTCTGACTTGGTGGTACCTTTAGATTAGGGTGCGGACAATCTTCTGCTCTGCTTCCTTCACCCATTTCAAATTTGGAGCAAGGACGAAAGAGAATGGCCTTGTATTTCCCAGTGCTGGGCTACTCAGCAATGCAGCAGGAGTAATTGGCAAGCAGATTTTGTTTGCATCTGTTCTGCATAATATGGATGGCATCCAAAATGCTCCATGGAAGCTTACTCTTCATGCCAGCAAATGCAGCAAGAGACTCTGCGATTTGAAAAAAATGAATTGGCTAAACTTGCTGCTCATCTTCAGACTGCAAAAGGCCAGACAAATCTCACAGAATCTTTTTTATTTATTCAGTTACAGTTTAGATGGGCTGCAGCATAGAACAAGATCAGGACATGTTAATTAATTTAGTCAAATTGAGGTAATGTGTAATAATAACTATTGAAGATGAACCTGAAAGTTGTTTGCTATGTTTAGATTGCTGTACTGTATTTGGAGTGGGTGTGGGGCACATATCTAAAATTCTGTCTTGTTTTAATTGTTTAATAGAATGGGAATATGCATTTGTTTAATTGTTTTCAGTTTCATGCTGTTGATTCCCGATATAGAGTAACGAAGCTTTTCAAACTGATTTTTAGTGCCCTGCTAATGGTTTGAACAATGTAGTCTTCTGACTTTGGAGTCTGAGATAAGGGTTCATGAGTGTACCCTACCAAAAGAAATTAGAATGCAGTAAGAATAGGACTGCTTAAATTCAGGAGAAACATTACTTGAAGCAGTTATTCATATTAGAATAGCTTTTCATATAAAGATAATCAATTGTATCACATTTGTATAAGCCCCACACTGGTTACTTGAATGGTATCAAATATTGGAGAGTAAACTGAACCAGGGGTAGTTTTTAATCTGATTTTCCCCTCCATCCATTATATACTGTGTATTGCTTTGTTTTTAGAGGAAATTGCTTTAAGAACCGCAGAGGTTGCTCAGCTTCCCCCACAAGTGTTAAGTGAAGAGGTCATCTGCTTAGACAGCACCAGCAGTGGTAGTGAGGATGACTCCAAAGGAAGACTCCATAGCATTAAAGATGGTAAGAATGGATGGAAACATCATTCCTGCATTGTAGCTTCCAAGACCTTGGTATGTTGCAGTCAGCAGGAAATTTTCTTTCTTTCTTTCTTTTTTTTAAATATTGGTAAATGTTGTTTCTTAAGAATTCTAATGGTCAGTAACTCCCTTTATTTCCTCTGTCATCACAGTACTTTGTTTGAAGATAAAGCATTTATTCTTCATCAGGATTTCAGTGATTCACACATACAGTTTTTGTGCCTATAGAAAGAAAATTCCCAATTTGAAAAATATCTTTACAAACTTGTAAAATCTATGAACTTATTTAGGCAAAGTTAATGCTATATTAAATAATATAAGGTATTCAGTAACTCAGTACTAATCAGAATAAGCCAATATGATCACTTTCATATTTTTGTATTTTGTATTTAATTTTTCTTTATTTATTATTTACCTTTTTCCAGTTTTTACTAGAGTATAGAAGATGAAGACATAGAGGCATAAGTCACCTTGCAATTTGATTATAAAATATAATGGATGTGCTAATCCTCTATATCTGGTTGTGTTGCAGAAGTGATAGAATTAAGTTCAGGAGAAGATGAAGCCCTCCATATTGTGGACAGCAGTGATTCTGGCAATGAAGGAGATGATGATACTAATGAAGAGAGCAGTGGTGCTCATGTGAATGATGCTCTAAATCAGTTAGATGCTTCAGGGCAAGTAATCGTTAACATCAACCATCCACCAAATGAAGAAGACATTTATCTGGCTCCTCAGCTTGCACGAGCAGTAAAGCCTCACCAGGTATTGAAATTTCTGCTTCAGACATGTACATAATTGTCACCAAATTCTCTTCCAGACATTTACTGTGATATGACATTGATTTGTGTAAATGTCAGTAGGTTTTTTGCCTGTGTATATGTGTACGCATTTACAAATTAGATGTATAACCAGTAATTTGATGGTATCTGTCCATAATCTCTTTGACACTGTTTGTTACTCTTTCTAGATTGGTGGTATTCGTTTCCTGTATGATAATTTGGTAGAATCTCTGGACAGATTTAAAACCAGCAGTGGGTTTGGCTGTATCTTAGCTCATAGCATGGGGCTGGGCAAGACTCTGCAAGTCATCTCCTTTTTGGATGTACTTTTCCGTCATATTGAAGCAAAGACCGTCCTGGCCATTGTACCTGTAAGTAGGCTGAACAAAAATGTTTACTTGAGTCTGTTCATCGACTTCTGTATTTGCCTCTTAAAATTTTCCTATCGATGAAATATTGTGTAGTATTTTTTTTTCAGTGTTTAAGGTGTTGGTAGCATGAAATATATAATTAATGGATCCCATTTCTTCATTCTTGTCACTTTTCTTACAGGTAAATACTCTTCAGAACTGGTTAGCAGAGTTCAACATGTGGCTTCCAGCACCAGAAGCCCTCCCTGCCGACTATGACCCAAAAGAGATTCAGCCTCGCACTTTCAAAGTTCATATCTTGAATGATGAACACAAGTAAGGGAAATTAATTCTATTTCAGAGATGTTATTTACAGTTGCTGCTGTTGACGCATTTGTGCCTTGTTTATGGATCTTGGAAAGTTCTCTTGGCAATTTGTAGAGATCTCTTTATGCACCACATCTGATTAATTTCAGTGTAGCAATAAGTATAACTGCCAAAATAAGTAGGACACCTTCCATTAAACTGCCACCTCAGCTTGCTCACATTTTGAATCTTATAATGCTGTCCTCTTTTCTTTTCTTACAAAAGATAAAAAAGAAAATAGCTTCCCCAGATAAACTAAGCATATAGGGAGAATATTACACTCACAGAGGAAAAAATGAACACTGTATTGCATTTAAAAATTAAGCAGAAGCCAGTGACATTGTTTGAATGCAAATACCTTGGGCTCAATGAGAGTTTAAGGTTAATGACAGCCATGGTTAATAGCAGGATTTGCCCCATCCATTGTAGATTGAACTACTGTATCTTGTCTTTCCAAACAGACTTTGAATGTATGTACGTGCACCTAGAGTTGAATTCTCCTGTTTCACGAAGACTGTCCCATTTGTATTTTGTCTCCCTGTTTTTTTGCAGGACCACTGCAGCACGTGCCAAAGTGGTAACTGACTGGGTGACAGATGGTGGTGTATTGTTGATGGGCTACGAAATGTACCGTCTGCTTTCATTGAAGAAATCCTTTGCTACGGGCAGAAAGAAAAAAAGCAAAAAGCAAACTGGCCCTGTCATTATTGATGTGGATGAAGAAGATCGTCAGCAGGAGCTCTTAAAAGGTGAGAAGCCAGGAGCCTCCTTCTAAGCATATTTTTCATTTCCATTCAAATGATATAATACTTAGACAACTATTTTTACTAGCATTTGGACATGAACAGATAGACATTCTGAAATTAGGAATCCATTATGGAATATATGTCTATTCTGGCCAGAAAAGTGATTTTCTAGTTCACATGAAATCTTCCTTTATTAACATAAAAGGTTTAGAAGCAGAGTTTCTCTGATGTCTATATAACTATTTTGCTGAGAGTTTCATTACTGTAACACAACTTTTTCTGGAAAGATTTTGTGTTAATTTTGTCCCAGTTCTCATATTTTGGTTCACTGCATTTTTGAAAAATAAACTTCCATTAAAAACATGTATTAGTTTTAGTTTCATTTGTCATTGCATTCAGTGAAGTATCTCATTGGGAATTTTAAATGATACTTACCTAGCCTAAGACAGTGAAGTGATCAATAACTTTCTGTTATCAGTGTTGTCTTGAAGACTGAAACAAAGATTTCTGAAATCCAATAATAATTTCTGAGCAATCCATTTTCTTTTTCCTAACCCCTTACTGGGTTTAGAATAATTCTTAATTATTCTGCCACTTCAGGTAAGGGTAGGGCAGAATAGATTCCTTTGGAGACATGTTCTTTTCCTTTCAGGAATTGAGAAAGCTTTATCCCGGCCTGGACCAGATGTGGTCATCTGTGATGAGGGACACCGGATAAAGAATTGTCATGCAAGCACCTCTCAGGCTTTGAAAAACATCCGATCTCGGCGAAGGGTAGTACTGACTGGCTATCCTCTGCAGAACAATCTAATTGAATACTGGTGTATGGTAGACTTTGTGCGCCCGGACTTTCTTGGTACCCGGCAGGAATTCAGTAATATGTTTGAGCGCCCTATCCTGAATGGACAGTGTATTGACAGCACCCCCCAAGATGTTCGTCTGATGAGGTATCGCAGTCATGTCCTGCATAGCCTGTTGGAAGGTTTTGTACAAAGGTGAGGCCATTTGCCACATTATCAGTCCTTCAGTCTTTGTAACAAATGTTTAAATTATGAGTGGGTGGGAAGTGTTTGGTTCACCAGGTTGGTGGGTTAGACTTTAGGCCATCATTAACAGTACCATTTTGATGTATGTGCCATTAAATCTAGTTTCATATTAATAATAGTGTGTTTTGGTAGTATTTTTCATCTGGGGAAAATAATTTATAAGGACTTGAATATACTGGAAGTATAATGTAAATTACTCTAAATATAATCTTATCACAGATTGGAAGGATTGGAGTGGAAGGAAATATTCAGTTGTGAGGTTACACTTGGTTAGCAAACTAAGCACTAAGATTTTGCAGCAATCTGCCATGGAAAACTAATCTCCATACATAAAGTGCTTATCACACTTGTTCTCTTATACTTGTAAATAATCATACCTGAATTGAGGTGTCTCTTTCCTCCTTTGCTAACAGAGGGATGGAGACCAGACTTTGAGCAGTTCCTCTCCTAATGTTCTTTTCTCTCTTGCATCTGTAGGCGAGGGCATAATGTGCTGAAAGTTCAGCTTCCCTATAAGGAAGAACACGTTATCTTGGTGCGTTTGTCAAAAATCCAGCGGGCTCTTTATACTGAGTTCATGAATCGGTTTCGTGATGTAGGCAACAGTGGCTGGCTGGGACTGAACCCACTTAAAGCTTTTTGTGTTTGTTGTAAGGTATGTATTTAATAGAAAAACGAAGCATTGTTTTGTGTAGGTTTTATGAAAGATAGGATGATGTTAGTATCATTATTTAGAGTCCATTTTCTTTTCCTTCTACATCTTGAGTATTGTGTGTTATTTTTTTTAACAGTGTGATGATAATGCAGAACACACCCATCTTCTTTTAAGGCTCCCTCCTATAAGACGTTCTAAACATTCCTTGAATACCGGTGACCAGTGATACAAAGCTTTGGGTTGCAATTTGGCTTGGAGTATTTTCATTACAGTACTTTGACTACTTGTTCACAGTACTATTAAAGACATGAAAACAAGTTACAGCTATGCTTCCCCTAAAGTTTTGCAGTACAAGGACTTTCTCTATTTTTAATCATAACAATTTCACAAATTACATTATTCCAACTTATATGTTTTAATTACTTCAAGCTTTACTGTGTTCCCCCAGCTTTATATATTTATTAAATAGATTTGCCATGAGACTCTTTGTTGCTTTTGCTGAAACAGACTAATACGGATGCCCCCCTGAAGTTTGGTAAAATTACTGCTGCTCATGCTCACCCCCTTCAGTGGGG